CGGCATGTAGGATCTTCCCGGACCGGGGCACGACCCCGTGTCCCCTGCATCGGCAGGCGGACTCTCAACCACTGCGCCACCAGAGAAGCCCCGTAAACTACTTTTTAATTGTCTATTTCCTCCGCTAGAGGATAAGCCCTGTTGCGAATATTCAGTCTTGTCACAGCTGAATCTTAGCAACTAGCACAGTGCCTGATACACAGATCGCCTCCTGCAAATACGAGATGAGTGGAGTAGTGAACATGAAAGTCTAGGGTGGGTGAAGGGTAGAAAATACAAATTCCCATCCAAAAACCTTTAAAACTATTTCAAGTTACCAAATCCAGACTGTTGATTACTACTTCTTTCAACATGTTTCTTGTGCATCTGCTGTTTCCCAATGAATGTGTCAGAACCAGTGATAAAATGGGAGAACAGACATAGTCTCAACCCTTGCGGAGATTATAATCTAGTGAGTGGGAAGAGGGGGAAAGGAAGAGTGTGCTGCACAAAATAACACACAGGCAATTACAATAAGGTGTGATAGGTGATGTGCAAGGGGAACTTCAGAACATTTTGCTCGCAACTAGACCTCAGAAGGTCCAAGAAGGCTTCAGGGGGGAGGCAAGATCTCTGCAGCCACCTGAAGGATCAGCAGTGTCAGGCAGGTACAAGAAGGTAAGAAAACCACCCCAACAGAGGGAACGCTAGGTGCCAAGGACAGGAGGGGTCAGGACAAAAGATCAGGCTGGAAAGGAAAGCAAAAGATGGAAGCTAAAGGCTCTAAAAGCCGGGTTCAGAAGGCTGCATTTTATCAAGAAGATAATGGGGGAGCCACTGAATGGCTGTAAGCAAAGAACTAATCATTGCATTTTAGACAGTTTGTTCTGGCCACATGGAGAATGGATCAGAAGCTGAAAGACTGGAGGCAGAGAGACCAATTAAGATGACTGTTAACATGATTTAGTGAGAAACTAATGATGGTCTAAATTAGAAAGGTATCAATGGGGATGGAGAAAAGCAGGTACCTTTGAAAGCTTGGAGGTGGAAGAATGGACACGACTTAGTGTGAAGTAAGCCAAGAATAACTGACTTGAGTAATGAAGTGGATGGTAGTCCAATTCTCTGAAATAGGAAACACATGCAGAGATACAGATTTGAAGGGAAAGATAATAAATCTGTGTAGTTTTAGAGATCTGAGGCTCCTGTGAGACAGCTAAGTGGAAAAGCTCAGTAGGCAGTTATGGGGATATGACAGAGAAAATCTGGGTGGAGATTTTGAGTGTGGGCCCCCTCTCATGGGACCAATCTATTTTAAATTTACTTGATCTATTTAAATGCTACGATCAGGAAGGCAGTGGTCTAAAGATAGGTAGATCTTGTCCATTTACAGCACATTCAACTTTCTTTGTAACAACATCATCTTATTCTCATGGTTTCCTACTCTAGCTACTGTGGCATTTCATGGGTTACGTTCACTGCTAACACAAACCTTTGGCCTTTCAATCTTTCTCTGCTGGGGTCTTCGCATCACACTCCTGTAGTCTCTCTGTGCTTCTAGTCTAGCGCTCTTCAAACCTCGGCACTCATCATGTGGAGGCCTTGTTAGATTGCATCCCTCAGTTCCAGATTTTCTGATTCAGCAGGCCCGGAGTGGGAGCCAAGAACTTGCATTTCTAGCAAGTTCCCAGGTGATGTTGCAAATTACTGGGCTTGTCCATTTCCAAGCTGAATTCATAATTTTGTGGTCATATCTATCACCCATACAGCTCAATGTTGCATGCTGGTCTTCCCACTCTTTCATTCCTAGATCTACAGAGGTTCTTACAAATCTTCACTGATTCAGGCTTTCTCTTTCTGCTATTAAGTAGTCCTTGTGAGACTGAGACCATTCACAGACTCCACAATTTCTATGAGCATCAATACTTTGCAAAATTAAATATTAAATCATTTAATCCCTACAATATTATGAAAGAGGTTCTTTCAGTATTTGTGTTTTAAATCAAGGAAACTGAGGCACAGAGAGATGAGCTGGCTTATATGAAATCACACAGGCAGAAGTGGTGGGGCCATGCTCTGTACCAGCATCCTCTATGGACAAGGTGATGATGGACCTAAAAGATGAACATAAACACTTCAGTATGGCACTGTAGGACATGCAGATGGGGCTACTTTAAGTGGCTAAGTACTAAGAGATGAAGATTTCAGGCGTGAACTACAGCAAAAATTGCAATCCAAGGATGAACAAACAGCAACTACATGAAACTTACGGAGCAAATAGATCTCTAAGTACTCTATAAATCTGGAAAAAAAACCTGAGGATATAATTGCCTAAGAAGAGAATTCTAACTCACTTTAAGATTATTGGAACACAGGTTTAATTGTACATTTTATGGCACTTGAGAGAATGTGAGAAGAGCCATGAAGGAACAGAGGTATTAGCAATGGAAAAGGAGGAAGTACCATGGGATACATACTATGTATGAGGCACTAGACATTTTCTTTACAGCTCTTTACCTCATTTAATCCTCATAACACAGTAAATATTATGCCCATTTTAAGAAGTAAAAAATTAAGAGAAGACTGACAACCTGTTTAAGGTCAAGCTGGCGCTTAGTAAATCTCTGGTAAACGCTAGAGAAATGGTGGAACACACAAAAGGAAGTTAGTAGTATGGGTATTTGGTAAGCCTGGATCAAACTCAATCCCACAGAGCTCGAAGCAGAATTTTTTCATGACCTTTCCGAACACCAGACTGCCAGTCAAGCTCTCAGGATTGTAGACAGGAAGAAATT